TATAAATGTACTATGGGGGACGAATAACTTATCTCTAAGGAACTCGGCAAATTGATCCTGTAACTTTGGGAGAAAGGATACCCTTGTAGGGTTATAAAAAGGCCCGAGCGACTGTTTATCAAAAACACAGGTCTCCGCGAAGTCTAACGACGATGTATGGAGGCTGACGCCTGCCCAGTGCCGGAAGGTTAAAAAAGAAAGTTATCTAAATTACAGAGAAGCTTTTTTTTGAAGCCCCGGTAAACGGCGGCTGTAACTATAACGGTCCAAAGGTAGCGAAATTCCTTGTCGGGTAATTTCCGACCCGCACGAAAGGCGTAACGACTTGGGCACTGTCTTAGAGATAAATTCGGCGAAATAGAAGTGTCTGTGAAGATGCAGACTATCTACACCAGGACAGAAAGACCCTATGAAGCTTTACTGCAGTTTGAAATTGAATTTTAAAGTTAATTGCGCAGGATAAGTGGGAGATTAAGAAACAACTTTTTAGGAAGTTGTAGAGTCATCCTTGAGATACCACTCTATTAGTTTTGAAATTCTAATGATAATTCTGTTAACCAGTTATCAAACAGTTTCAAATAGGTAGTTTGACTGGGGCGGTCGCCTCCTAAAAAGTAACGGAGGTGCACAAAGGTTTTTTCAAATCGGTCAGCAATCGATTTATGCGTGTAAAGATATAAAAAAGCTTGACTGTAAGATTTACAAATCGAACAGGGACGAAAGTCGGTCTTAGTGTTCCGACGGTTCTAAGTGGTGAGGCCGTCGCTAAACGGATAAAAGTTACTCTAGGGATAACAGGCTGATCTCCCCTGATAGTTCCTATTGACGGGGAGGTTTGGCACCTCGATGTCGGCTCGTCGCATCCTAAGGCAGTAGCATGTCTTAAGGGTTGGTCTGTTCGCCCATTAAAGCGGCACGTGAGCTGGGTTCAGAACGTCGTGAGACAGTTCGGTCCGTATCCGGTGTAGACGTTAGAACACTGAAAAGTTTTTCTCTAGTACGAGAGGACCGAGAAAATTAAACCGCTGGTCTACCAGTTATCTTACCAAAGGTATCCGCTGGGTAGCTAAGTTTAGTAAAATTAACCGCTGAATGCATATAAGCGGGAAATTCACTTTAAGATGAGTGTTCTTGTCGTTTAAAACGAGTAAGAATGTAAAAAGACTATTTACTATATAGTAAGATTGTGTAAGAATAGTAATATTTTTAGCATATCTTCACTGTTAATTCGAGGACTTGAACCTTTATTTAAAAAATTTAAAAGAAAAGCTGACGTGGCTCAACGGAAGAGCAACTGACTTGTAATCAGTAGGTTGGGGGTTCGATTCCCTTCGTCAGCTAAATATACTATTCAATTCATATTTTCACATTATTTATTATTCATTTCGTTTAACTCTTAAATCGTCAGGTATGGTAAGATATTTAGGACCAAAACTTCATGTGATCCGAAGACTTCGTACACATTGTTTACCCGGGTTTTCAACAAAAGTTAACTCTCAAATAGGAACTCTTAAAAAACCTATTTCTGCCTATGGAGAAAGATTAGAAGAAAAACAAAAAGTACGTTTTAATTATGGGGTAACTAATCGACAATTAAAAAATTATCTGGAGTTAACACAACGTATGCCAGGTCCTTCTGGAATTAATTTACTTCTGTTACTAGAAATGCGTTTAGATGCCACCCTATTTAGAATAGGGGTTTCTAGTTCAATTCAACAAGGACGTCAATGAATTACTCATGGACATATTTTTGTTAATTATTCTTTAATAAAGAGCCCTAGTTTTCAATTACGTCCTGGAGATCTTATTCATATAAATCCTTTAAAATTTAATATAATTTCCCTAATCAAACGTAATTTAATTGAAAGAAGTGGGATGTTAGAAAAAGAAGGGGATACAAACTTAGAATGTGCTCATAAACTCTGTTATTCTTCTTTAAAAATTCTTATTTTAAGACCTATTTATCCAAGAGAAGCAATGTTTAAATTTAATGATCTCTTACTCTTATAGAGTAGGGATTAGTAACTGATTTAATAACAAAATCTCACTCAATAAATATAGGAGGCGGATGAAGCCTAACGGTTAAGGCAATGGGTTGTGGTTCCATGTATTGCGGGTTCAACTCCCGTCATTCGCCCTTTATAACTAAAAAAAAACTAAAGGTGACATAGCCAAGAGGAAAGGCAGGGGACTGCAAATCCTTGACCCTCAGTTCGAATCTGAGTGTCACCTAATGGGTTTCAATATACATACTAGAGTATTATAGGGAACGTGGTGAAATTGGTATACACGACGGACTTTAAATGAGCCTATAAAGGTAATACGAGGTTATTAATTATTATAGTTATTTATTTTATATTTTAAAATGAAATTAGGAGAAATTGTAACTCAAGATTATCCTTATGGATTTAAAACTGAGCTAGATATAGAACAAATTATAGGAGGATTAAATCAAAATACAATTCAAAATATTTCAGTTAAACAAGAAGAGCCTATATTTATTCAAAATTTTAGACAAAAAGCTCTTTCTAAATTACATGAATTAAGACAACCTGATTGGAGCTTTTTTGAAGTACCTGAAATTAATTATGATGAAATTTCATATTTTTCAGCTCCTAAAAATTTATATGATGAATCTACTAAACAAAAATTAGAATCAGCATTTTTAAAATTAGGATTACCGTTTAAAGATAAACAAGAAGTTACTAATGCTGCAATGGATGTTATTTTTGATAGTGTTTCAATTAGTAATCAAATGGGGCCTTTTTTAGCAAAAACAGGAGTCATTTTTTTACCATTATTTAAAGCTATCAAAGAAGTACCTTATTTAATAAAACGTTATTTAGGAACTGTTGTATCTATAGAAGATAATTTCTTTTCAGCATTAAATACAGCTGTATTTAGTGAAGGTTCTTTTTGTTATATTCCTAAAGATACAGCTTGTAATTTTGATTTATCTACTTATTTTAGAACAAATTCTGAAAATTTTGCTCAATTTGAAAGAACTTTATTAATTGCAGAAGAAAATTCTTCTGTAACTTATTTAGAAGGGTGTACTGCACCATTATTTACAGAATCACAATTACATGTTGCTATTGTAGAAATTATTGTTAAAAAGTACGCTACTGTTAAATATTCTACGGTACAAAATTGGTATCGAGGAAATCAAATTGGAGAAGGTGGATTATATAATTTTACTACTAAACGAGGAATTTGTATGGAAGGTGCTGGGTTAGAATGGACACAAGTTGAAATGGGGTCTGCAATTACTTGGAAATATCCTTCAACAATTCTTTTAGGAACTTCTTCTTATAGTGAATTTTATTCTATTTCATATGTATCTGGTATGCAAACAGCGGATACAGGAGGAAAAATGATTCATATTGGAAAAAATACTAAAAGTAGAGTTATCTCAAAAAGTGTTTCTTTAAATAATTCTGTTAATGTTTATAGAGGGTTAGTAGAAATAGGAGCGACTGCTGACTATGCATCTAATTATACAGAATGCGACTCTTTATTAATAGGATCAAATGCATTAGTAACTACATTACCATATACAGTAGTTAATAATCATACCGCAGCTGTTCAACAAGAAGCAACTATTTCAAAAATTAGTGAAGATTATCTATTTTTATTATTACAAAGAGGAATAAGTTTAAAAACTGCTGTTGCCTTATTAATTTATGGATTTTGTGCAGGAGTATGTGAAAAATTACCTCTTGAATTTGGAGCAGAAATTCCATTATTAATTGCAATGAGAACAGAAGAAAGTATTGGATAAGCTACTACAATTATAATAAATATACACTTTAATAATATTTAAATATTAATATATAAAATACTCTAAAAAAATGAATTACAGTGCCATTAATTTACATTCAGTTAAAAATATAGAAACATTTTATAATGAATATGAAACATTATTAAAACTTTCTATAATTAAATCTCTTAAAACTTTTTTTCCTATTAGTACAAAAACTAAAAATAATGTTATTGAGTTTAAATTTTTACCAGAACATTTAAAATTTAAAGTTAGTAAAGTAACTGATTCTAATATTAATGCAGTGGAAGAAAAAACCCCAAAAATACAAGTTATAGTACCTTTAAAAATTATAATTAAAAATTTAAATAAATATATAATTATGTATTGTCATTTAATAGATCTTCCATATACAGATTTACAAGGAAATTTTATTTTAAATGGAATGAAAAGAGGATTAGTTTCTAAAATGATCCGTCATAATGGGGTATATTTTAATTTTCGAAGAAAATATGGAGAAGATATTTATAGTGCTCAATTACTTTTAAATGAGTTTTCTAAATATTTTATTGAGTTACACGAAGAAGGTATTTTTATTTATAATAGTTTTAATAAAAAAGTTAATTTAATTAATTTTTTATATTTTTTAGGACTGAATAATACTTATATTAGTTCTTTCTCACGATATGGAAATACTAAACTATTTAAGACCTTATTATTAAATTCTAAAAATTTTTATTATTTTAATTCCAAAGATATAAAAGAACTTGAAAAATTAAGAGTGTTATTAAATATTTTGAATCCTGAATTAAATTTAAACTATTTAAAAAATAAATTAAATTTTTCTAAAAATATTATATCTTTAAAAGAACACTTAATAAATAGAATAGGAAATTTTTTAGAAACTTCTTATACTTTATTAGGACAAGATTTAATTTCTATTATCGATTTTTTATTAGATTTAAAATTTAAAAAAAGAACTTTAAATGATTTAGATCATTTTGGAAATAGAAAAGTTGAATCTTTAGGACATCTAATTTCTTCACATCTTGAATATATTTTACCAAATAAACTTTTTAAGATTTTAAATCTTTTATCTAATTATAAGTTTGTTAATATTTATCTTTTAATAGAAAATTTAAAGGAAATATTTAATAAAAATAAAATTTCGATTAAAGAACTTTTAACAGTTAACCCCTTAATTCAATATTTAGAAGAAGTTAATTCTGCTTCAGAATTAATGCATAAAGTACGAATTAGTAGTATTGGACCTGGAAGTTTAACGCAAACTAAAGCTGGAGTAGCTGTTAGAGAAGTACGTCCTAGCCAATTAGGTAAAATTTGTATTTTAGATACAAATGAGGGTCCTTCAAGTGGGTTAGTAGGAGCACTAGCAAGCAATGCTCGAATTAATAAAGATGGTAATATTGAAACCTTAATTTATCCAAATAAAAAATTACGTTCTGGTTCAAAATTTTTAAATACTTTTGAACAAGAAAGTTTTCATGTTTCATTTGAAAATTTAATTACACGAAAACAATCTCTATTAAATAAATATACTAATATTATAACATTTGAAAAAGGAGAAATTAAATCTAAAGCTAATATTTCAGATACTTCTTATAAAATTAATCCGAGTAATTTACTTTCTTATACAGAAAATTTAATTCCATTTTTATTTTATAATGATCCTACTAGATGTTTAATGGGGGCAAGAATGCAAACACAAGCTGTTCCATTAATTTATCGAAATAAACCATATATTTTAACTGGATTTGAATCTATTCTTGCTTCAAAAACGTCTAATTTATTACGTGCTTATCAAGAAGGAATTATTACTAAAGTAACTGCATATAAAATTGTACTTAGAGATTTATTTAATAGAGAAATTACATATTATTTACAAAAATATAAAAAAACAAATCAAGGAACTTTTATACATCAGGTTCCAATAGTCTGGCCAGGAGAACGAGTACATTCAGGACAACTTTTAACAGAAAATCAAGATATTAGTGATACAGAATTTAATATAGGAAATAATTTAAATGTATTATATGGAAGTTATTATGGGTATGAATATGAAGATGCATTAATTATTAGTCAAAAAGTTTTATATAAAAATATTTTTACATCTATTCATTTTGATATCTATGAAGTAAAATATTCTAAATATCCTATAGATACTCCTGAATATAGTACCTTAGATCTTCCAAAACGAAGTTCTTATCAAAAAAGACATCTAGATGAGTTAGGAATTATCAAAGAAGGATCTAAAGTATTAGATGGAGATATTTTAATTTCTAAAATATCTGTTTCTAATTTAACTTTAGAAGACTCTCCTTTTTCTGAATTAGTATATTCATTATTTGGAACAACTTTAAGACAAATTCAAGATAAATCTATTTCAGTACCAGTAGGAAAATCAGGTCGTGTAATAAAAACTGAATTATTTGCTATTAAAAATAAAGTAAGTACTTCTACTGTTCAAAATTACTTAACTTTAANAGAAAATTTAATACCAATATTATTCTATAATGAACCTACTAGATGTTTAATGGGGACAAGAATGCAAACACAAGCTGTTCCATTAATTTATCGAAATAAACCATATATTTTAACTGGATTTGAATCTATTCTTGCTTCAAAAACGTCTAATTTATTACGTGCTTATCAAGAAGGAATTATTACTAAAGTAACTGCATATAAAATTGTACTTAGAGATTTATTTAATAGAGAAATTACATATTATTTACAAAAATATAAAAAAACAAATCAAGGAACTTTTATACATCAGGTTCCAATAGTCTGGCCAGGAGAACGAGTACATTCAGGACAACTTTTAACAGAAAATCAAGATATTAGTGATACAGAATTTAATATAGGAAATAATTTAAATGTATTATATGGAAGTTATTATGGGTATGAATATGAAGATGCATTAATTATTAGTCAAAAAGTTTTATATAAAAATATTTTTACATCTATTCATTTTGATATCTATGAAGTAAAATATTCTAAATATCCTATAGATACTCCTGAATATAGTACCTTAGATCTTCCAAAACGAAGTTCTTATCAAAAAAGACATCTAGATGAGTTAGGAATTATCAAAGAAGGATCTAAAGTATTAGATGGAGATATTTTAATTTCTAAAATATCTGTTTCTAATTTAACTTTAGAAGATTCTCCTTTTTCTGAATTAGTATATTCATTATTTGGAACAACTTTAAGACAAATTCAAGATAAATCTATTTCAGTACCAGTAGGAAAATCAGGTCGTGTAATAAAAACTGAATTATTTGCTATTAAAAATAAAGTAAGTACTTCTACTGTTCAAAATTACTTAACTTTAAGAATTTTTGTTGCAAAACAACGTATGTTACAAATTGGAGATAAATTATGTGGACGTCATGGTAATAAAGGAGTAATTTCAAATATTGCAGAAGAAGCAGATTTACCTTATAATGTATTATCTCAATATCCAGATATTATTACAGGTCCTTTAGGAGTACCTTCTAGAATGAATTTAGGTCAATTATTTGAAAGTCTTTTTGGGTATAATTGTGTTCTTCAAGATAAAAGATTATTAATTAATTCTTTATTAAATAATCATTTAAATAGTAATTATACTAAAACATATTTATATAATTCATTACAGTCATTAAAATATTATACAGGAAATAAATCTTTATTAAATCCATATATTCCAGGTAAATTATTATTAAGAGATGGTAATGAGTTTTCTAAATATTTTATTGAGTTACACGAAGAAGGTATTTTTATTTATAATAGTTTTAATAAAAAAGTTAATTTAATTAATTTTTTATATTTTTTAGGACTGAATAATACTTATATTAGTTCTTTCTCACGATATGGAAATACTAAACTATTTAAGACCTTATTATTAAATTCTAAAAATTTTTATTATTTTAATTCCAAAGATATAAAAGAACTTGAAAAATTAAGAGTGTTATTAAATATTTTGAATCCTGAATTAAATTTAAACTATTTAAAAAATAAATTAAATTTTTCTAAAAATATTATATCTTTAAAAGAACACTTAATAAATAGAATAGGAAATTTTTTAGAAACTTCTTATACTTTATTAGGACAAGATTTAATTTCTATTATCGATTTTTTATTAGATTTAAAATTTAAAAAAAGAACTTTAAATGATTTAGATCATTTTGGAAATAGAAAAGTTGAATCTTTAGGACATCTAATTTCTTCACATCTTGAATATATTTTACCAAATAAACTTTTTAAGATTTTAAATCTTTTATCTAATTATAAGTTTGTTAATATTTATCTTTTAATAGAAAATTTAAAGGAAATATTTAATAAAAATAAAATTTCGATTAAAGAACTTTTAACAGTTAACCCCTTAATTCAATATTTAGAAGAAGTTAATTCTGCTTCAGAATTAATGCATAAAGTACGAATTAGTAGTATTGGACCTGGAAGTTTAACGCAAACTAAAGCTGGAGTAGCTGTTAGAGAAGTACGTCCTAGCCAATTAGGTAAAATTTGTATTTTAGATACAAATGAGGGTCCTTCAAGTGGGTTAGTAGGAGCACTAGCAAGCAATGCTCGAATTAATAAAGATGGTAATATTGAAACCTTAATTTATCCAAATAAAAAATTACGTTCTGGTTCAAAATTTTTAAATACTTTTGAACAAGAAAGTTTTCATGTTTCATTTGAAAATTTAATTACACGAAAACAATCTCTATTAAATAAATATACTAATATTATAACATTTGAAAAAGGAGAAATTAAATCTAAAGCTAATATTTCAGATACTTCTTATAAAATTAATCCGAGTAATTTACTTTCTTATACAGAAAATTTAATTCCATTTTTATTTTATAATGATCCTACTAGATGTTTAATGGGGGCAAGAATGCAAACACAAGCTGTTCCATTAATTTATCGAAATAAACCATATATTTTAACTGGATTTGAATCTATTCTTGCTTCAAAAACGTCTAATTTATTACGTGCTTATCAAGAAGGAATTATTACTAAAGTAACTGCATATAAAATTGTACTTAGAGATTTATTTAATAGAGAAATTACATATTATTTACAAAAATATAAAAAAACAAATCAAGGAACTTTTATACATCAGGTTCCAATAGTCTGGCCAGGAGAACGAGTACATTCAGGACAACTTTTAACAGAAAATCAAGATATTAGTGATACAGAATTTAATATAGGAAATAATTTAAATGTATTATATGGAAGTTATTATGGGTATGAATATGAAGATGCATTAATTATTAGTCAAAAAGTTTTATATAAAAATATTTTTACATCTATTCATTTTGATATCTATGAAGTAAAATATTCTAAATATCCTATAGATACTCCTGAATATAGTACCTTAGATCTTCCAAAACGAAGTTCTTATCAAAAAAGACATCTAGATGAGTTAGGAATTATCAAAGAAGGATCTAAAGTATTAGATGGAGATATTTTAATTTCTAAAATATCTGTTTCTAATTTAACTTTAGAAGATTCTCCTTTTTCTGAATTAGTATATTCATTATTTGGAACAACTTTAAGACAAATTCAAGATAAATCTATTTCAGTACCAGTAGGAAAATCAGGTCGTGTAATAAAAACTGAATTATTTGCTATTAAAAATAAAGTAAGTACTTCTACTGTTCAAAATTACTTAACTTTAAGAATTTTTGTTGCAAAACAACGTATGTTACAAATTGGAGATAAATTATGTGGACGTCATGGTAATAAAGGAGTAATTTCAAATATTGCAGAAGAAGCAGATTTACCTTATAATGTATTATCTCAATATCCAGATATTATTACAGGTCCTTTAGGAGTACCTTCTAGAATGAATTTAGGTCAATTATTTGAAAGTCTTTTTGGGTATAATTGTGTTCTTCAAGATAAAAGATTATTAATTAATTCTTTATTAAATAATCATTTAAATAGTAATTATACTAAAACATATTTATATAATTCATTACAGTCATTAAAATATTATACAGGAAATAAATCTTTATTAAATCCATATATTCCAGGTAAATTATTATTAAGAGATGGACGTACAGGATATAGACTTAAAGGAGGTGCCTTTTTAGGAACTCTTTATTATTCTAAATTAATTCATATGGTAAAAGATAAAGTTCATTATAGAACCTTTGGACCTTATACAGAAATTACTCAACAACCTATCAAAGGAAGAGGAAAAGGAGGAGGACAAAGATTTGGAGAAATGGAAGTCTGGGCGTTAGAAGCTTTTGGAGCTTCTTATAACCTTAGAGAACTTTTAACTTCTAAATCAGATGAATTAGTTTCACGTAATAAGTTACAAGAATATTTATTAAATAATACTCCTTTAGAACCTAATTCTTTACCAGAAGCATTTAAATTAATAATAAGAGAATTACATGGATTAAGTTTAAATTTAGAATCGTTTATGGTTACAGATATGTTAGAAGGTAAGTTATTACCTTTAAATATTAATTATTAAATTAAGTAGTTAAATATATAGAAAATGTATTTTAATAATCTTTCAGGATTTAAAATTTCTTTAGCATCTCCTCAAAATATTATTGGATGGTGTGAAAGAAAAATAACTCCTACTGTTACAATTACAGGAGAAATTTCAGAACCTTTAACATTAGATTTTAAAACAGGATCCCCTGAGCCAAATGGATTATTTTGTGAAAGAATTTTTGGTCCTATTTTATCGTGGCAATGTAAATGTGGATTATATAAAAATAGATTTTCATCTTATCAACTAAATAAACGTAATACTTATTTTTGTGAAAATTGCGGAGTTGAATTAAATGATACTCGAATTAGACGGTATCGTATGGGATATATTAAATTAAATACTCCAATAGCTCATTTTTGGTATATTAAGTCGCTTCTTCCTTTATTGTTAAACTTATCACTTTCTCAAATTGAATTTTATCTTTATTATAAAGATCTTTTTAATTTAGATTTTATAAATATTAAAACATATAATCAATTAGTTTTAAGTAAAAAAGGTGATACTGATAATCTACTTTTAGATAAACTTTTTCCTGCAGAATTATTTCAAAAAAAATTAAAACAATTAAATTTATTAAATGAATTAAAACTTTGTAGAGAAGATTTAGCTATAGAAACAAATATTCAACTAAGAAAAGCTCTTTCAAAAAAAGCTCATTTACTTCATTTATTTTTTACAGGTCATATTAAACCAGAATGAATTTTTTTAACTCTTTTACCTGTTATACCAGCAGGACTTCGTCCTTTTTCTAAATTAAATCCTGGTATGTTTATTACGTCACCTTTAAATGATGAGTATCGAAATATTATTATTAGAAATAATCGATTAAAACGGTGGCAATTATTAAGACATTTAATTCCAATTAATTTTGAACTAATAGAAAAATTAAAGCTTCAAGAATCTATAAATATTTTATATAATAATTCCTCAGAAGAATTATCTGCAGAAGGGGGTGTTTCTTTAGGTAAAAGTTTTCAAGGAAAATATGGTAGATTTAGACAAAATATTTTAGGTAAAAGAGTTGATTATTCAGGACGTTCTGTAATAATTTCTGGAGCAGATTTACCGTTTGGGAATATAGGAATTCCTTCTGGAGTAGCCTTAGAATTATTTAAACCTATTATATTAAATATGTTACGTACAAATTCGAATATTTTAACTTTATTAAAAGCTACTTTTATTACTCAATATAATCCGCAAATACTTAAATCTTTATTAAATAAACTTTTTGAAAAAGAAATTTTATTAGTAAATAGAGCTCCTACTTTACATAGAATGAATATTCAAGCATTTAAACCTTATTTAATTGAAGGAGAAGCATTTAAATTATATCCATTAGCCTGCTCAAGTTTTAATGCTGATTTTGATGGAGATCAAGTGGGTATTTTTTTACCCATTGCTCCAAGTGCTAAAAAAGAAGCTAAATCTCGTATTTCATTTGATAAAAATATTTTTTCACCTTCTTCATTTAAAAATTTATTTAAACCTACGCAAAGTATTATTTTAGGATTATATTCTCTATTAAATCTAAATAAGATGTCTAAATTAATTTTTGCAAATAAAAATGACGTTCTTTATGCTTATTCACATAAACTAGTTACACCTAGTACTGCAATTTGAATTAAAACTAAAACTAATGCCTTTCCTAAACAAATTATAGAAAAAAAATATATGTTAACTACTGTAGGAAAAGTTTTATTAGAAACATATTTACAAATTTAATTATTTTATTATTTTACCTTTTTTTATATTTAATTTAATAAAATGAATATTCAACTTATAACTTCTGGAATAAAAAATTTAGCGTTTGAACAACGTTTAATAGAATTATTAGGAGTACTTCCTAGTTCTTCTCTTATTTCTGAATTAATGATTTTAGGCTTTGAATATGCTTTAAAATATCCTCTTTCTTTAAATTTAGAAAGTACCAGAGGATATTCATATTTAGCTCCTTTATTACGTAACCGAACATACTTAAAAAATACTTTTTTTTCTACAGATAGTTATTCAGTATCTAAAAAACAAGATACTTTACTAGGTACTATTAGTAATCGTGCATATTTGAAATTTTTTGACTTAATTAATTCTTATAAAGATACAAATCCATTAGCAAGTTCCTTACATATAATGGCAAATACGGGAGCTAGAGCTAATTGGGATCAAATTCGTCAATTAATTGGATTTAGAGGTTATTTATCTAATGCTAGAGGATTTTTATATGAAATTCCAGTAATGCAAAGTTTTAATAGAGGATTAAATACATATGAATATTTTTTATCTTCTTATGGAGCTCGTAAAGGAGTTATAGATACTGCATTAAAAACTGCGGATGCTGGATATTTAACTCGTCGGTTAGTTGAAAATACCCAAGAGTTTATTATAAAAGAACGTTATTGTGGAGTTAAAGATAGTGTATTAATAAATATTAATATGTCTCCAGAAGGAGACTTTAAATATCCTTTAAATTTAATGCTTTGGGGTAAAACACTTGCTAAAAATATTATTGATACAAAAAAAGGTAATATTATTTTATCAAAAGGTACTAAATTAGGGATTAATATTAATAAATTATTATTTAAATATAATATAAATAAATTATCAATTGCTTCTACTAGTCTATGTCTTGCAGGGCGTTCTATCTGTAATTCTTGTTATGGATTTAAAGGGGTATTTGGTAGTTTATTAGGAGAAAGTGTAGGAATAATTGGAGGAGAGGCTGTTGGAGAACCTGGTACTCAAATGACTTTGCGTACTTTTCATACAGGAGGTGTATTTACAACTAGTTCTACTTCTCCAAAATTAAATTCTTCTAGAAAAAAAGTTATCTCTTCGTTTAAGTTTAATTCAATTTCAAATTGTATATTTAAATTAATTAGAATTAAACAAAATACCTCTAAATTAAATTCTTTTGCACCACTTTATACTAAAATTCCTGGACAATTAAAGACAAAAAGTAATCCTCTTAATATTTTTACAGAGTCCTTACAGCCTATTTTATATAAATTAGTAAATAATACCTCATATAAATTAAGTCTTCCTAAAAATATTAATTTATATACTACTTCTAAAGGATATTTACTATCATATACGCCTATTTTTACGTCTTATATTTCTTTATTTAAAAATAAAAAATGAAATGATACTGAAGGATATTTAAAATCATTTTTTTCAGGTGAAATTTTATTTCAAAATGCACTACAATTATTAGTTAAAAATACAAATAATAAGTGGGTATTATTTTCATTAAAAGATAGTATAGCATATCAAAATCTTTTATTCCAAAAAAGAGTTAAAAATTGTGGAATTCTTCTTAAATTTTTATCTAATAAGTATGTAAATTTAAAATTATTTCATTTATATCCACTAACATATCCTTTTAAACAATTAACTAGTAGTACTTTTAATAAGTTTCAAAAAAATAAAATTATTTATACAGTACCTTTAGCTTCAAATAGAGTTCAATTTTATATTAAAACTTCTTTAAAGAAAAATATAAAAACAATCTCAGTAATAAATCTTAAAGGAGAACTTAAAACTTTAAAAAATATTACTAATAAATATTCTTTATTAATAAGCTAATAAATATTATTAATTTTCTAGGTTTAAAAATGTCGTCTTCTATTTTCTATAAAAAATATCTTTCTTTTCCTCTAAGTAATATAAAGTTAAACTTTCCGGCAACTTTGACCAGAACAAATAAGGTTAACTCCGTTAATTTTAATAAGTATCCAGAATATGTCCAATATACAAAACATATAAATCCGGATACTATTTATTTAGTAAATACTACAAATCCTTTAAATATTATAAATTTTTTTACATATTCAAAATATTATAAAATCGAACAATCAAAATTTCCTTTTTTATCCTATATTTCAGATTTTTATTCGTATGAATATAAAGATTTTACTCCTACAGGAATTTATTCTGTAGATTCTTCTTCGATTTCAATTACTGATCAACATCGTTTTAAAAATTTACATTTTAAACCTTTTTCTAATACCTCGCTAAATACTATTAGTCCTTATTTAATTTCAAAAGGAACTTCTTTAAAAATATTACATAAACAGATTTTATCTTTTAATGAAGTACTTCATTTTAATTTACAGACTATATTTACTGACACTCCGAAAAAAAAACAACTTTTAATTCAATTATATAATTATAATAAATCTAAATTATTATGAGGAAATTATAATTTAATAAATAAATTACCTTATAGTAATGGATTATTAACTACTTTATTTTCAGCTTGCCAATCTCCAGGAAAGGCTATAGATATTACTTCTGGATTACAAACTATTGAAAATATCTTTGAGTCCAGATCAAATAGCGATTCAAATTATTTAATTTCAAAAAATGTAAGTATTTTAAATCAAAAGGTACTTCAATATTATAATAAAGCTACAAAAGACTATATAGTAAATTCTTTTACACACTCTCTTGAAGCTAAAGAATTAAACTGAATAACTACTTCTTCTAAAATACCTTTATATACTTTAGAAAATAATTATTCTATTATATACGGAGGACAAGTATTAAGTACAGGTAAATATGCTCCTTCTAATATTATTAATCATATGGTTAAGTCAAAAAAAACTACTCAGGGACAATATTCTGCAGTTAAACAAAGTTTATTTTTTGCAATGAATTTAATTATAGACTCTTTACTTAATCAATATCTTTTTCAAGGAATTTCATTGCCAAGTATTCATTTTGAATTAATGGCTAAAAAAATGACTTCTTGTGTTAAAATAGTAAGTCCAGGAGATTTAACTGTAACTGTTGGGAATATTTTACCTTTAACTTTAATAGAAACATTAAATTTAGCCTCTAAATTTAATGGATTTCGTATGTGTACATATACACCAATTATATTAGGAATTACTAAAAGTACTATTGCAACTTCTGGATTCCTTTCTAGTATTAGTTTTCAAGAAACATTAAAATTATTAGGAAAAGCTGCATTACATCAAAGTACCGACTGGTTAACGGATTTAAAATCTAAAATAATTGCTACAGATTTAATTCCTAGTGGTACTGGATGATTAAGATATTTTAATAAAATTTAATATAAATTGATTTTACATGACCTTAATTACTTTAACTGAGTTAGCTAATAAATCTTTTCATTTAGGACATAATTTAGAACAATGAAATCCTAAAACAACTAAATTTATCTATAAAATTGTTAATAAAACGTGTTTGATAGATCTTATTCAAACAGCACAATATTTATCAAAATCATATTCATATTTTTATATAGCAGGAAAATTTAAACAGAATATTTTATTTATAGGATCTACTCCATTAGGAGCAACTTTAATTAAACAAGCTGCACAGACTTCTGCAAACTTTTATTATAATCGTTCATGAATTGCAGGAACATTAACAAATTGAAAAATGATACAAAGTAGATTAATTTTATTACTTTGGATATCTAAAATATTAAAATTAATAAATACTTCAAACTCTACTTTTAAAGTATCTTCTACTACATATTCAACTTTTTATAAAATTTATAAGCAATTAAGTGTAAAATTAAGTGGATTAATAGGCTTAGTAGAAATTCCTGAAATTTTATTTATTTTAGATCCTAAGTATGAAAAAATTGCATTTAAGGAAGCCCTAAAATTAAATAAAATTATTATCTCTATTGTTGATAGTAATATTAATCCAGATCAAATTTTAATTCCGATTCCAGGAAATGATGATAATTTTCAAGTAATAGACTTAACTTTAAAACTATTAGCCGCAGGATATGTTCATGGAGCATATTATAACTAATTTTTTAGAATTAGATATAAATATTTTAGAAGCAGGAACATATTGTTAATCTGATCAAAAATGATTTTATAAAGTTTTAGAAAAGTATACTTGAACAAAATAAATCGAAGGAAATTTTTTTTGCTTAAATTCCGAAAATTTTTCAAAAAAAAATTAAAGCCAAAGTTGAAAACTATGTTGCTTTACTTAATATAACTATAATTACTTAGAACATTTTCTATAAATTTAAAGCTTTATTAACTAAAGATTAAAAGTTAAAACTAAAATTTATATATATATTTTATAATTATAAACTAATAAAATATCCCAATTCTATTCACATTAAAATAAATATAGTAATAAAAAGGGGATTAAATTTATATCTCTTTTTGTTAATTCTCTTTTAAATAGTTCAGAAATTAATGAGTACGTAGGATGTTGTAATAATAACTTTTGTGACTTTAGATTTAAACTATTTAAATGTAATTTTGTTAAAAAAGATTTATTTAGACTATAAGGTTGTTCTTTACTTTTATATAATTTATTTACACTAGGAAGAGGTTGAATTATATATTTATATGTTTTTTTACGATCTTTATAAGAAGAACTTCCTGCCTTTAATCTTTTTTGTAAAGTACTTTTTGATACAGAATATTTTTTATTTTTATATCCTTTGATAAATTTTATCTTAGTAATCATATTTAAAATTTAAATATAAATGAAAATAATTAAAAGCTTATTTGTAAAAGTGTAAGGAGAGAGTGGGATTTGAACCCACGGAATTTAATATTCTTCTGATTTCAAGTCAGATGCATTAGACCAACTCTGCCACCTCTCCAGGTAACTCAACTATACTTAAACTTAATTTATTAAAGTATAATTATCTAAATTAAATTTTAATTGGAATAAACAAAGAGTTTTAACATTTTTAGTTAAAACAGTTCCTAACTTAAGATTTTGTAGTAAGTAGTTATTTTTAATTAAAAGTAGTTCTTCTTTTGGGATATACACTCCCAGTTTAGTTAAATATTTAGACTTAGGACTTCGATGAGAGTCCATTACAACTAATTGAAAAGAAGGTACTTTTTTTTTACCTTTTAAAATTAATTTTATTTTTTTCATTTTTTGAAAAGAGATATTACAACTAGTTATTATATATGCTATCTTTATCTTTAATTAGCAGATAACGGGAATCGAACCCGCATAATCAACTTGGAAGGATGATGTTCTACCATTAAACTATATCTGCTTAAAATATCCTTTATTATTGTTCTAATTTTTTTAATCCATATCCTAATGTATTATTTTTATCAAAGAATAATGAAAATACATGAGGAGATCTTAATTTATAATTAAGTAAAATATCACTAATAGGGGTTTCAATTAAATTAGCTATTAATCTTTTTAAAGGACGTGCTCCGTATAAAGGTTGATATGCTATTTTAGCTAAAATATGTTTAACTTCAGAACTTACACTTAAACATAAAGGAGATCCATTATGTTTTAAATTTGATGAAATTTGATCTAAAAATTTATCTACAATTTTAGTTAAATAATTAATACTTAAGGGTTGAAATACAACTACACCATCTAAACGATTAATAAATTCTGGTCTAAAATGATTTTGTACTGCAGTATTAACTTTATTAGATAAAAATAAGTATTCTTCTTTAGTAAAATTAGATCCTTCTTGGAAAGATTTAAATTCTAATGGATTTGTAGGACACCCTAAATTACTTGTAAATAAAATAATTGTATTTGAAAAATCTACTGACTTACCACTAGAATCTGTTAAACGTCCGTCATCTAATAATTGTAGCATTAAATTATTTACATCTGTGTGAGCTTTTTCAATTTCATCAAATAATACTACAGTATACGGTTTTTTATTTACAGCTTCTGTTAATTGTCCTCCTTCTCCATACCCAATATATCCAGGAGGAGATCCTATTAATCTAGACACAGAGTGTTTTTCCATAAATTCACTCATATCAAATCTCACCATTTCAGTATCTGATCCGAATAAAAAGTTTGCTAGAGATTTTGCTAATTCTGTTTTACCTGTACCACTTGGTCCACATAATAACCAACTTCCTATTGGTTTATTAATAGGTTTTAATCCTGTAGAAGCTCTTTTTAATGCATTAGTAATTTTTGAAATTGCAATATTTTGTCCAAATACTCTAGAATTTAATTTTTCTGTTAAAGTTGCTTCTGTTTTTACAGTATCTAAATTTTTAATAATTAGATGCGCAGGTAATCCAGATAAATCTGAAGCTGCTTGTTGTAATGCTAATGTTGTAAGAGGATTAAATTGCGTACTTACTGGATTAGCACAATTAATTTTAGCACACGCTACATCTAATAAAATTAATGCTTTTTCAGGAAACGTTTTATGTTTTAAATACTGTTTACTTAAATTAATTACTTCTTTAATAGTCTCTGATAAAATAGATACTTTATGAAATTCTTCTAAACTTTTTATCTTATTTTTTATAATTTTAAATGTAACTTCTTCTGAAGGTTCTACTAAAGTTAATCTATCAAAATATTTATCTACAGTAGAATTTTTCTTAATAAATTTTTCATATTCACTTGAAGTACTTGTTCCTATAAGTTGAATATAATTTTTTTCTAATGCAGGTTTTAATGTATTAATTAAAGTATTAATTCCTTCTTCAGAAGAATTGTTTAAATTAAATAAAAGTTCTATATCAGGACATACTAAAATAATAGGGTTATTTTGAGACTTAATTGAATTAATTAATTCTTCAAATTGTTGTTCTAATTCTCCTTTATATGTAGTATATTTAATTAAAGAATTCATATTTAATATCCATAGTTCTTTATTTTTTAAAAGAACGGGAACTTCATTTCGTTTTATTTTAGCAGCTAATGCTTTAATTAAAGATAATCTTCCTACTCCTTCAGGACCTAAAATTATAGGATTTCGTTTAGTTTTTCTAGATAAAATCTCTATTAATTTAAGAGTTTCTGATTTACGGCCTATTATAGTATATGAAGAATTTATTGTATCTGAGAAATTTGAACTTAATTTTAATAATAATTCATTATTAGAATTTTCTTTAGTTAAAGGAGATACTTCTAGGTGAGTTTCAATATTTGTTAATAAAATATTAAGTTCTTTTTCAAAAGTTTTAGCAATTTCTGGTAAATAGATGTTGCTATCTTCTAAAAGTAGATATAATAAATCTAAAGTATTAAACGGACGAGAAGAAATTTTTTTAGTTAAGTTACTTAATAATGTTAAAGAAGTTAAAGAAAATTGTATTGATAAAGAAGATATTTTGTTATAATTACGATGTAAAGATAATTCAAGTAATAGCAGATCTTTAAATTTAATATTTAAAGGTAGTTTAGAAATTAAGTTTGTATAAAATAAACTCGTAAAAATATGAATAGGCTCTACAAAAGTATAGTTATACTTTGTGGCTAACGTTTCTGCTTGAGCTAACGTTAATAATACTTCTTTTGTACATTTTAATGAAGGAATGTAAAAATTTGAAAGATTTGTATAAGTAGTTGTATTCATGTAAAATTTAAATTTACTATTAAGAAAATTAGTTATTGATTAATTTGTGTTATTAGAGGTGAATTTAAATAAATTTTAAAGTCACCTTTTTTAGAATGTTTAGTAGTAATATCTTTATATTTTAAATTAATTAAATTAAAATTTTTTTTCAATTTAATTATTTCAGCTTTAATTTGCTGTAATTTTAAAGTTTTTTCGTCTAATTTAAATTTCTTAAATTTTAATATATTACCAGGAATTCATTTCCTATTAAGATTAAAAGTATTATTAACATTAAATGTCTTTAAACTAGACTCTGGAAAAGATATGAAAGACTGTTTAAATTTATTTTTATAAGTTTTAAGTTTAAAAAGTTTCATCTGTTCTAGATTTAAAAGGTAAGATTCCCAAAATTTTTAATCGTTTAATTAATTTAACAAAATATTTATGATTTTTTAAAGATAAATTTGAGTTAATTCTAGGATTAATTTTATAATAGGAATTTATTAAATGTAATTGTTGTAATAAATCTTCTATAATTAAAAATGTATTTTTTTGATACTTTTTATTCATATTTACTTAAAGAATCAAGAAATGATAATAAATAAGTTTATTTTTCTAAATCAAAAATTCCCATAGAAGACGCAGTTCCTTTTATCATATTTATTAAGGCTGGTTTAGAAATAGGATATAATTCTGCTTCTTTAATTTTAAGAATATAGTCTAATCCTTCTTGTGTTAAAGTTCCTATCTTTTTAGATGGAGTTGGCGATCCTTTTGATAACTTTAAACAATTTAATATTAAACGTGAAGTAGATAAAGAATTAATTTTAAGGCTATAAGTTTTATTTTCAAAGAGTAAAATTTTTACTCTTACATCTCCTGTAAAAAGTAAACTTTTTTCATTAAATTCTTTACAAAATTTCATTAAATTAATTCCATATTGTCCTAAACTAGGTCCTACAGAAGCTGGAGTTACTTTTCCTGCGGGTAAAATAAGCTTTAAAGTATTTTTAGAAGTTTTCATAAGTTACTTTGACTTACTTAATTAAGAGTATTTTATTGATATAATAATTTTTAATTAATATAATATGTACCCCACGCCCTGAAGGAATCGAACCCTCGACACAAGGTTTTGGAGACCTCTGTTCTACCATTGAACTAAAAGCGCTTATTTATCTGGGATAGAAGGAATCGAACCTCCGCATTACGGAGTCAAAGTCCGTTGCCTTACCACTTGGCGATATCCCAATATATTATATATATTATACGTCGAGATAGCTCAGTGGTAGAGCAAAGGACTGAAGATCCTTAGGTCACCAGTTCGAATCTGGTTCTCGGCAATTTAATTAATTAGTTTCTTGTATTAATTGATAATCACTTGCCTTTAATAATCTTTTTGAAAATTTTTTTGAAGGCGCTCTTTTATTTAATGTATATAAAATTTGATAATATATCCAATATTTATGAGTAAGAGAAGAAGTTATTAATTTCTTATAAAGACGAAAGGCTCTTTTATATATAGATTTTAAAAACATTTGTTTATATAGTATAAATATATAATTTTATTAAATTTTTACTCTATTATTCTAATAAGTTTGTTACTATTCCTGCACCGATAGTTTTATTACCTTCTCTTATAGCAAAATGCATTCCTTTTTCTAATGCAATTGGGTATAAAAGATGTAATTTTAAACTTACTGTATCTCCAGGAAGAATCATTTCATTATGAGTTTCTACTCCTTTTTTAGATAAAAGTGATTCAATACTAGCAGTAACATCAGTAGTATTTACATATACTTGAGGTCGATATCCTACAAAAAATGGTTTATGTCTTCCCCCTTCTTCTGAAGTTAACACATAAAGTTCTGTTTCAAATTTACTAAAGGCATTAAGTGTATTTTTTTCTGCTAATACCATTCCTCGTCTTACATCTGTTTTTTGAATTCCTCTTAATAAAATTCCAACATTATCTCCTGCATATCCTTCAGATAATGTTTTTTGAAACATTTCAATTCCTGTAATAGTAACTGATTTATTTGTAGAACTATATCCAACTAAATCCACAGTACTTCCTACTTTAATTTTTCCTTGATTTATTTTACCTGTAACTACAGTTCCTCTTCCAGTAATTGAAAATACATCTTCAATAGCCATAAAAAAGGGTTTATCTAAAATTCTTGTAGGAGTAGGAATAGTATTATCAATTGTAGATATTAAATTTAAAATATCTTTTACCCATGTATTTGTTTCTAATTCTTTTACAGTATCTAGATTATCTATAGCTTCTAATGCTTTTAAAGCAGATCCTTTTACTATAGGAGTATCTATATACCCATAAGTTTCTAATAGATCTTTTATTTCTAATTCTACTAATTCTAATAATTCAGGATCTTCTACCTGATCAATTTTATTTAAAAACACTACTAACTGAGAAACACCTATTTGTTTTGCTAATAATAAATGTTCTCGTGTTTGAGGCATAGGTCCATCTACTGCAGATACTAGTAAAATAGCTCCTTCCATTTGAGCAGCTCCTGTAATCATATTTTTAATATAATCTGCATGTCCTGGACAATCAATATGAGCATAGTGTCTTTTATCAGATTCATATTCAACATGAGCTGTATTAATAGTAATACCTCTTAATTTTTCTTCTGGAGCAGAATCAATATCCCCATAATTACAAGCTTTTGCACGATTATATCTAGCTAAAATTTTTGTAATTACTGCAGTTAATGTAGTTTTTCCATGATCAATATGTCCTATAGTTCCTATATTAATATGAGGTTTAGTTCTTTCAAAAATTTGTTTAATCATAATATTTTAGTTATTTAAAATCTAAACGTTAAATTTTAATAATTTTTACCTTTTTTGAAAAAAGATTGTTGCTTATTAAATGAAGCTAATAATGAATTTTCTATATGTTCCTTTTTATGATATAAATATTTAGAATATTGTGCAGATTTAGAAAAATTTAAAAAAGAAATATGTGAAAAAACACGATTAGAAATAGCAGTTTTAATATATGCTTGTTTTTTTTTCCACGTAATTCCTTGAAAATTAGCCGCATTTATAATTTCAGCTGCTAACTCTTTTGTAGTTTTAACTGATTTTAATAACCAACTAATTCCAATAGAAATAGCTTTTTTTAGAGTAATTTGTGTAGGAATATAATATATAGAACCCCCAATTCTCTTTTTCTTAATAATTATAGGAGGAGCTATATTTAAAACAGCTTGTTCAATTAAAATTAGAGGTTCTTGAGAAGAATTATTTTTTAATAATTTAATTAAAGAATATACTTTTTGTTCAGCTTTACTTAGCTTTCCTGATTTTTGACATTTTTTAATAAATAATTTAATTATGATACTTTTAGGAGGTATTGTAACTAAGTTTTCCATATGTTTAATATATAAAAGATATTAGATTAAGTTAATTTTTTAGTTCCATATTTAGAACGACTACTTTTTCTTTGTTTTACTCCTGCTACATCTTTTGCTCCTCGAATAAGTTTATAACGAACTCCTGGTAAATCTTTTACTCTTCCCCCTTTAACTAAGACAAAATTATGATCTTGCACTGCATATCCTTCTCCAGGAATATAAGCTATAATTTCTTTTTTATTAGTTAATAATATTTTTGTAACTTTTCGTAAGGCAGAATTTGGTTTTTTTGGAGTTACTGTAAAGACTTTTTGACAAACTCCCTTTCTTTGAGGGTTTCCTAAAAGAATATTTACTTTACTTTTTATTTCTTTTTTACGTGGTTTTCTAATTAATTGATTTAGCGTAGGCATTTTTTAATCGAAAATATAACTTTTTATTTAATAACTCAGGAGTAATCTCTAAGTTATATATATTTATATATAATTTATTAGGTTTATGCTTAAAATACGAGTTAAATAAAGTTTTAAAAGAAGAAGTAAATCTTCCTAATGTTAATTTCTTTTTTTTATTTAAATTTAATATCCGTACTTTAAGGGGACTTATTCTAAAATTACCTTTCATAGTATATTATTTATTTAGTAGATTTTTTTTGTATTTTTTATTAAATTTGTCTGTTGGGTTAGAAATTTTTTTATCTAAATTTTTTTGATAGGCAGGATGAACTTTTGCTAAAATTTCTATAGATAAATAAGAAGATGTGGATCCTGTAATATAAATTATATTATTTTCAAATAAAACTGGTACCTTAGTATACCATTTAGGATGAATATATTTTTTCATAGAAAAATTTAAGAATAGAGTAAATATTGATAATAAATTAGTAAAATTAACGACTTTTTCTTTTAGAAGGTCTACACCCATTAAATGGAATAGAAGTAGTATCTTTAATAGAGACTAATGTTAAAGTTTTATTTTTTAAATAAGTTTTAATTAATGTATTAAGGATAATATATCTATGAGAGCTAATTCCGTTAAAACTAATATTACAGTAAAGATATCCTACAGAAAGTAATTTTAGTGCCACTTTTTTAGCTAATTGACTTGCTGCAAAAGGGCTATTTTTTCTTCTACCTTTAAACCCACAACTTCCACAAGAATATACCCCTAATACTTTATTTAAAATAGTATCCACAATTGTGATAAAAGTATTATTATTATTAAATTTAATAAATAAATTTATACGTGTATTATTTATATTCATATTATATAGAAATTAGAAAGTATTTTTTGTAAAATTATTTATTTCTGACGTTGTTTATGTTTTTTATTTAAACATATTACATATAATTTTTTTTTACGACGTATGAGTTTACATTGCATACAAATTCGTTTAATAGATACTCGAACTTTCATATTTAAACAATAAAACATTAAAGTTTATTTAGTTTTTTTGCTGTTTTAGCATTATTTTTAGTATGCTGTCCTCTAACTGGTAGTCCTTTCATTAATCTATACCCTGTTAAAGATTTTATATTTCAGTTTTTAAGATGAGATTCTTTTACTTCTTTAGTTAAATCAGTTAAAATTGAAAAGTTTAACTGATCTAAAATTTTACGTATTTCTTGTATTTCTTTTACAGAAAGATCCTTTATTTTTTTTTCTACTGAAATTCCACTAAGTAATAAAATTAATTTTAATCGATATTTATTAAGTCCTGGAATTTTAGAAAAAGCATATAAAATATTCTTATGTTTAGGAAGGGATATTCCTCGTAATTTAAAGGATAGTTGAGTCATAGTTGATTTTTATAAAAATTATTAAATAATTACTTTAACTTTAGTATTTAATTTTAATAATGCATCTAAAGTTGCCCGAAGCATATTTAACTTATTATTAGAACCAATAAGAACTCCTCATACATTACGATATCCTATTAATTCTAATAGTTTTCTTAATAAAGATGGTACAATAAGTCCTTTTCCTATAGATAAAGGTTTTAAAATAATTTTTGTTTTTTTAAATTTCGCTTCTGTATAACTTAAAATTGATCCTGAATGAGTAATATTAAAATAATAAATATGTTTTAATGCAGATACACGAGCTTTTTCTGTTGCTTCTGTTAGAGTAATTGCTTTACCAATTCCAATACCTACCCAACCTTGATAATTTCCAATAGCTAAAAGTACACGAAATCTTCTATGTCTACCTCCTTTTCTTGTTCGAGAAACTTGTTTTATTTCTAATACTTTATAATTTAAATTATCTGTCAAATTTATAGACATCTTTCAACTTTAGTTAAGTTAGATAAATAATTAATTTTAATGTTGTTTAGTCTTTCCTTGTTTTAAGTTTAATTTTGTTAACTTATTAGTAATTCCTTTTCCTTTATAAAGATCTATTGGTCTTAATGCCATAATTCTAGCAGCAATTTGTCCTAATTCTATTTTATTTATACTTTTTAAAATTAAACTTGTTCCTTGATTTGTTATTTCCGCTTGAATACTTTTAGGGATACTTACTATAATTTTATGAGAATATCCTAAATAAAAATGTAACTGAGAATTCTCAATATTAACTTTATATCCTACTCCAGAAAGAACTAAATTTATTTGATATCCACTAGTTATTCCTTTAATATTAGCAAATAATCTTTTTAATAAAGTGGTAGTAATTCCAATATATTTTTTATTTTTAGAACTAAGATAAATAAAATTTTTTGAAATTGCCGCAATGGCAACTTTAGGAATTATGAGAGTTAATATTCCTAAATACCCTTCAATATTTAGATATACTAATTCATATTTTCTATCATAAATCCAAAAAGGAATTATGTTATTATTATAATTTAATTTTAATATTTGTATATCTTTGTAAGTTTTCATTAGTAAGTATATTAAAAATATATCACTATTTTTATTTAATTGAACATATTAAATTTCCCCCTATTCCTAATTCAAAGGCTTCTTTTCCAGAAAGAATACCTTTAGAAGTAGAAAGAATTATAAATTCTTTTTTAATCACTTTTTGTATATCTTTAAATTTTAAAAATACTTTTTTAGATTTATTTCCATACACTTTTAAATCTTGAAGAGTTAAAAGTAAAGGACTATCTATATAATTTAAAGATAATATTAATCATTCTGTATTTTTTATATATAAAAAAAGAATATTTTCTATATAGCCATATTTTTGTAAAATTTGGGCAATTTTAACTATGGACTTTGTTTTTTTAGTTAAATATATATTTTTTTTAACTTTTATAACGTTTTTAAAATTATTAAAAAATTCAATTAAAGTAGTCACCATAAAAATAAATCTAACAAAATTTAATTTTAAATAAAAGGCATTCCTAAAAATTCTAATAATATTTTATTATATTTTTTATCTTTATAGAAATTATTAAAAATAATATTAATATTATATCCATTTTTAAAGGAAATTAAATAATTATCTAATTCAAGAAAACTAGATTGAGATTTAATTCCTAAATTAAAATTTCCTTGTTTATCAAAACTAGTAGTTAATCCTCCTTGAAAATTAAGTTCGCGCGGAAGTACAAATAAAATTAATTTTTCTAAAAAATAAAACATTCGATCTTTTCTAAGAGTAACCTCTAGTCCAACAGGAATTCCTTTTTTTTGTTTAAATTTAGAACTTTTATTTTTAGAAAGTGTAATTTTTGGTACCTGACCTGTAATTAATTTTAATTCATTAATACTTGCAATAAACTTATCTTTAGAAGAAGCATCTTTAGCAAGACTACGGTGTATTACTATTTTTGTAATTTTAGGTAGTTGAAATTTTGTACAAAATGTTTTAGAATATTTAGAATTTAAATATTTTAAAAATGAAGTTTCAAACTTTTTTTTTAATAATGAGATCATAATTATCATGTATATAACTAAATAAACTCTTATACTAATTCAGTAGCTAAAGAACTTAATTTATAAAAGTTTTTGAGTTTAATAAGTTTAGAGACTGCTCCAAAAATTCTAGTTCCTAAAGGACTATATTTTTTATCTACTAAGACTACAGCATTATCTTGAAAACGGATCCTTGTACCGTCACTATATCTAAATGAACTTTTAGTTCTAATAACAATAGCATATACAATATCAGATTTTTTAATTACTCCTTTGGGAGATGCTACTTTAACAACTCCTACAATTAAATCTCCTAATTTAACTCGGGTAGTTTTTCTACTTAAATTTTTTAAACATAATAATTTTTTTGCTCCAGTATTATCTGAAACATAAAAATAGGTTCCTATAATAGCCATACTTATAAAAAAATTTTAATTAAAGATAATTTTTTATTATATTTAGAAGATTCTAAACGAATTAAAACTAAATCTCCTTCAGAAGCCTCTTCTCTAGTATCACTTACTAAATATACTTTTTTATAGATTCTTAAATTTTTATATTTTTTATGAAATTTATTATACGGTACTATAACACTTAATTTTTTATTCATTTTAGTACTATATACATATCCTAATTGAGGTTTCATTGTTGATTAATATTAACAATAATAAAAAAAGATTAATTAGTAATTATTTTTTGAATAATTTGAGTTTGAATAGGTAATTTAAAAGCTGCTGCACGTAAAGCTTCTTTTGCAAGCTTTTCAGAGGAGACAAAAATTTCAAAAATTAGCTGTCCAGGTAAAATTAACTCTCCTCAATAATTAACAGACCCTTTTCCTGACCCCATACGTGTTTCAGCAGCTTTTTGAGAAAAAGGACGATGAGGAAATATACAAATTCATACTTTTCCGATTTTTTTAATTCGTTTAGAAATAGCTTGTCTTGCCGCTTCAAGTTGAACGGCTGTAATAATTCCCCGTGTTTTTGCAAAAAGCCCTCAATTTCCGTGCTTATTTAATTTAATTTGTTTATTACCTTTAAAATTATTTAAATGAGCATATTTAAATTTTCTATATTTGGGAGAAAGCATTATTTAAAAACATTAATACGTAAATAACCATAATTTAATTCCTAATGTTCCATAGGAAGTTTTAATATAACTTGAACTATATTTAATTTGATAATTTAAAGTTTGAAGAGGTACATTTCCTAAGAGTAAACTTTCTTTACGAGCTCGTTGAATACCGCCAATACGACCTGAAATTAAAATTTTAAGTCCTCCTATAGAAGAAGCTTCTCTAGATAATAAGATATTTTGAGATAATTGTTTTAAAATTTTTCTTAAAGGCTCTCCTTTTTTTAATTGAGATTTTATAAAATAATTTAAAACTTCTGCATTTAATAAAGGTTCTTTTAAAACACAAAAATTTATAGAAACTTTATATTTAGAAATAGTATTAAACTCTTTTATCTGTTGAAAATTCTTTAATTTTAAAAGAGTATTTAAATAGTTTAAAGAAAGTGGATTTAAATCTAATGGATAAC